AAGTACCTGGAGGCATTGGCTGCCAACTTTGGGCAGAGTGAAGGCCATGTGGCTACACCCTTTCCCTCTGGGTTCAAGTGTGTGAAGGGACCAGAGGAGGAGAGCGTTGGTGAAGAGGAGAGGCGCCGATTTCACTCGTTGGTGGGCAGCCTCATGTATGCGGCGGTAAACACCCGACCGGACGTCGCGTTTGCTACCGGGCAGCTGGCTAGGGTTGTGCAATGCCCTAATGAGGAGCAGGTAGCAGCTGGAATGAGGGTGGCCAAGTATCTTGGCCAAACACCGACCGTTGGGCTGCAATACTCGGCGGCGGCACAAAGGCGCCAAAAGGGCGCGGATGGTGTTGAACCCGGGCGTTTGTTCCTCACCGCCTACTCGGATGCTTCATATGCATCAGAACCAGAGGACATGACAAGTGTGGGAGGCTTCATATGCTGTGTTGGTGGAGGCCCAACTGCTTGGGAGAGCAAGAAGCAGGTTGACCAAGCTTTGAGCTCGGTGGAGTCCGAGTACATGGCACTCTTCCGTGCCGTACGGGAGATTGTGTGGCAGCGGCGTTTGTTGGCTGAATTGGGGGAGGAGCAGCAAGGACCTACCCCACTGTACTGTGACAGCCAGGGTGCCATTGCTCTTGCTAAGAACCCTGTGTTGCATGGACTCACGAAGCACATGAGGGTGAAGTGGCATTGGACGAGGAGCATGGTAACCGCGGGTGAAGTTGAGTTGCGCTACGTGAAGACCACGGGGCAGCCGGCTGACATGATGACCAAGAGGCTGGTGGAGCAGCAGCATTGGAAGTGTTGCAAGCTGGCTGGGATGGCTCTGAACTGAGAGAGCAACATATCCTAAGGCCAACAATCCGAGGGGGAGTTTGTTGGTGCAACCCTACGGTTTGCACTCGGCTTGTTGTCCGTGTGCGTGAATGTGTGTGTGTATGGAATGGTATGAGGGCATGGGATAATATATATTTCATGCTTATAATTGTGTGTGAATGTTGAGTCATGATGTCGAGTGTGTGTGTCGAGTCAATAGCGAGTTATCGCTAGACGCGTGTTACGCGGTCGTTTGTGTCTCGCGCGCGGTTTCTATTTTGTCGTGCGCGGTTTCTATTTTGTCCTGTGTCGAACGTTCGGCGTGTCGCAGGTGTGTGCAGCAGACCCATCAAGAACTCAAGGATGAGTTTGTGATGAAGAGCCCGAGCCTTGGTGTCAAGCCTCAAGTGATTTCGAAGCTTGCCAAAAGGGTACACCTCAAGATATTGAAGATAGTTACATTACTTTGTGTAGTGTAACATTTCACTTGGTGTAGGCCCTAGTGAAGGGTAGTTTCGAGACCCTTCGTGGTTGGGGACAGTGTGGCACTGTTCCACATCACTGTACCTCGGCTCTTGGGGTTTGTAGGAGCTGGGAGTCATTCCCAACTCGTAACTCTTCCTATCTTGTGTTCTAAGACTATAGTGGCTGCCATAGTACCGTTCGTTCAAACCAACGCTGTGTCGTCAATTCTTTATCAAATCGTGCAATCTAAACTTGCTAATTGTAGACGACGTGAAGACGCTCCAGATCCAATTTGAATCAGGTCATTTGCAGCTGTGAGCAGAACGCTATCAACGTTTGAAGCCGCTGTGCAGAAATCCGTCTGTGCTCTCTATCTTTCGTTTTAGGCACATTCAAGCCTATTGTGACTATAACAGCTGCGTCCCTTCCGGCCTCGCCGCTGATAACCCCCATCCTGCTGGATCCGGCCATGGTGTTGATCTCCACCGGAGGGAATCGGGAAGAGTGGATCTGCACGCAAGTGGGCTGTGGGAAGGCGAAGGGGAAAAGCTTCATGACTGCAGCAGATCATGTCACCTCTGCGAACCACCTCATTCACCTGGAGAAGCTCGGATCTGCGACACGTGTCTCACTCGAGCGTGCAAGCCTCAATGTCACGAAGAAGGAGTATGGGCTCTAAGGGAAGAGCAGCTCGGTCAGCACACAGCAGCAGCAGCAGTAGTCCTTGCAGTAGTTGGTGCCGTTCTTTTCTTTACCCTGTGGATGCGTAGGGGTTTTCAAGCTGTTATCAAATGAGTAAAAAAAGCCTCATCAGTTTCACGGGCCTTAACGTCAACGGCCTAGGAGATAAGACTAAACAGCAGCGAGTCCTCAACTGGTCTAGACAAGCAGCAGACATTATTGTCGTTTTGTTCTATCCCTCACAAATTCCAAGCCAACTTTTTATACCATTTGAATACTCGGTGGTTTACAGAATAGCAGAGATGCCTTATCAGCGTTTCCAAAACAGCAAATACACATTCAAGCACAAAACCCACAGGTGTCCCCCCTCCTAATCACCCATCTACCCCATAAAATACACCGTCAAGTCTCTAACAACTACACCAAAGAAGTATCCGACAACCTCTCATCCCACAAAGCAGTATCTTTCTTGAGTAGATCCCCACACTGGCTTCAAAATCGCAATTTGGGATTCCGACCTTGCTGGCCTTCAATATCGCTGAGGGGGGCAAGGGAAGAGAGCAAGGCAATCCCAACAGAATACGCACAGAGCAGGGGTGTGGTAGTGGTCTAGCTGCGACGGGGCTGGAAGGAACATCTGGCTTGTGACGAGCTTTTATGTGAGAGTGAGAACCAGATCACATGGCGTGTGAGAGTGAGAAACCAGGTCACGTGGCATGTGTGAGTGACAAGCCAGATCACATGGCATGTGAGAGCGACAGTGCAAAGCGAGGGAAGGATCCACATGACAGCCCGTTCACCATGCATGTGACATACCAATAGCTGGAGACCACACGCCGCACGCTGTGTATTAAGCTCGTTAGTGCACTTGGCTATGGCCAGCATGTTTCCCTTCCAGCGGCTGGGGCAGTAGGTCGCGCCCTTCGCGTACACAATCCTGCATGCGGTGTCTGTTGATCAAGGTGATGTGAGGGACGGGTTAGAAGTGCAGCAGGCAGGATAGGAAATTTGAGAAGTGAATATCTAGGTCTAGTTGGGTAATACGCGGCAGCAAAGTAGGCTGCCGCCTCACCATTCTGGATCCCACGGCACAAAGGAATTTCCTATGGAGAAGCAGAAACATTCCGAGAAAAAGAGCTATCCAGAATTCCGGATAGAGTGCACTGAGGGAGAACGAGAGAGGAACCATTTGCTCATTTCGAGTTTGGATCGTGTATGGTAGACTGGGTTAGTCACATGACACGTACTATCAGATGTGGTCTGGAGCTTGCGGTGGCGCTGCTCGCGGGCTTCGCTCGGCTGGGTGGTTCTCGCCACGTCTTCTGCTGTGACGACGCCTGTCGCCTCGCTCGTTGCTAGTAGGGTAGGGGCAGGGTAAGGGAGTGAGAGGAGTGAGGGGCAGAGAGGACGTTAAGTGGAGGAGGCCTAGGCAGAGTGAGATGGGATGTGTGGTCAGACTGAGAGGAGATAGAGGCAGGAGGGAGTGAGGGGCGGATAGAGGGGATTCACGATTGAGGGGAGGGGTAAGAGGGGATGAAAGGCGTAGTCGATGCAGGGGGGAATGACGAGTCAGGCAGAGCGAAGCAAGTGCCGCGTACAAGCGAATGCGAATATGCTTTTACAAAGCTGCTCTTGAGCTGCCACAGCTCGAGGCGTTTAAACCGAGCAATTGCGTGTATAACCGCATCGAACCAAGTGTGGCGCGTCGGAGCGGTTGGCCCGCAGGGGAGGCGAATGTGACGGCGCAATGCGTGAACGCGGCGCCAGGGATATGGCTTGGGTTTCGAGGTGGTACGGGCCGTACCTTGGGCGTACGAGACGCATGAGAGCACCAGGAATGCAGCGAGGAAGAGTGCGATGCCGACGGGGAGAGCAGAGCGAGCCATTGCGACGTGAGGTGATTGACAAAGTTGTCAATGGGATAGACTGAGAACTGAGGAGTAAATGTGGAATTGAGACGATGATGGTTAGAGTATGTTCGGCTGTGGGATATATAGCTGGGAAGAGTTCGATTGCATGGACGCGTACCGCCGAGAAATGTGGTTGACTTTTTGCGTCACTCACGCTGTTCTCGTACCGCCGCAAACAAACTCTGGCATGGCTGTTGAAGAGAACCAAGCAAAAGGATGTGAAATCTGGGATTTAGGTACGATACAAAGTGGTTAATCACGATACACCTGATAATATTTTATCAATAATTCAACTCCAAGGAATAAACGCGGTATAGTGAAGACGACGAATGGTCAAAGGCCAAAAGCAAATCTGCCACCGTACTGTAACTACGTCTAAACCCTCTGAAACCCACAAAGCCATTCTGAAACCCGTCAAAAAAAAAAATAGTGAGACCAATCCTGGTTCCAAACTCTTAACGCGTTCTCTGGAGTCCTATTGGTTGTCGAAGCGGGCAGCGAAAAATTGTGAAACTTCAGCAAAAGTAAGTCAGATTGGTTCCCACCTTGTAACGTGTTATCTGGATTCGTATTGGTTGCCGCAGAAGGCGGCGAGAATATTTGAATATTCTCAGTAAAAAACCAGTGCATCACACAGACCAGCTTTGACTGCCTCGAAATGACAAGGCCGCCATGGATATTGTCGCGCAGTTACAAACCTAGATCTCGTGAAGGTTCCGTGTCAGTTGGCTTTAAGGACTTCAGATTCGGATTCCTCGTTACAAGGCGCAACGATCGATACGACTATTATGCCTACACGTCGGGCATTGTATCTTTCGGCAACCGGGAACCGATTTCTTGTCAGGCAACTAACTTCAAGGTTCCTTTTGGTTTGCTGCTAACTCCAAGGCCTCATTTTCGGTTTTTACGCAGCAAGTGGTTTAACAATGGCTACGACACCCTCATTAAGTCTATTACTGACCCTGATCCCGAGGCATCGACCTCGGTTTCTCACCACCAACACCAAGAACACTGGTCCAACGCTTCTGGATCTCAGCTATTTAACACGTCTGTGCTCAGAGCTAAGGTATCAGTTCAGACATCTGCGGTCTGCTTTCAAGCTATCCAGCCTCTTCCTGCTCATCATTGCACCATGGCTCCTAAGGGGAAGTCCAAGGCTGTGTCAGAAGCCTCGTCGCTGGAAGCTCCCTCGTCTTCACTGGATGCGCCAGCCTCGTCGCCTGCTCCTGCTTCTTCTGACCCTGCTGGCAAAGGCAAGGGCAAGGTTACTGAGGAGTCAGTAAATGTACCTCTTACTGATGCTCCAGCAAGTGGATCCGGTCTCTCCCTGGAGGAGAAGCTGGGCTCTCTTCGTACAACGACTCCTGACAGCGGCTTCATTGAAGATGATTCTGACGAGGAGCTCGAAGTCGAAGTCAAGACGGAAGCGTTCAACCGTGTTCGCTACACTGCGATTCTGCTGATACCCGTGGCTCTCGCCCTGGAGGTCGCTTCCGTCATCACCACGGTGCGGACTCTGATGCGGCGCGTCTGGTCGTCTACGCTCTCTGTTGGCGCCGTTGACTCGGCGAAGTTCCAGGAGCTCCTGCCGGCGTACGTGGCGAAGACCCGTTACAGTCGCCTGCAGGTCTCTCTCCTGCGCGAGGAAGATATTATGAGCATCAGATCCAAGGAGGTGGATTACACGCGTCCTAACGGCACGGTCTTCCGTCTCTACTGGCAACACACTGACGATCCTGCTTTTGTGCGTGAACGTGCGACGAACAAGCTGGCGATTGAGGTGGTGATTCGAGACGTACCTGCGACGAAAACTCCGGAGATGCTGCGGGAGCTAATGGTGGTCTACCAGCTGCGTAATCGGCGGCAGTCGGCTTTCAAAGACGGAGTCTGCTTCCACCGCGTTCTGCACCCCGTCACTGGAGCTGATACAGATGTCGTCAAGGGACTTGTGATCCCTCATCCTGGCGACAGATACCGCTGGCGCCATGTGTTCGAGGATCCCTTGGAGATCGGCCGTCGCTTTTTGGTCCACTTCCCTGCGCTGTCTTGCCTGCTCTGCGGTGAACAGCACTATGATGTCAGTCATGATGCTTTCACTTCGGAGCGGGAAAACAACATAGGGAAGTGGAATCTTACCTTGGGGAGGGTTCACCGTATCAATGGTAACTGCTCTTCCTTGCATGTTCTTACATGCTATCATGCTTGTCCTCGTGCTAACTGTCAAGTCGTACCATGCAGCTGCGTCCCTTCCGGCCTCGCCGCTGATAACCCCCATCCTGCTGGATCCGGCCATGGTGTTGATCTCCACCGGAGGGAATCGGGAAGAGTGGATCTGCACGCAAGTGGGCTGTGGGAAGGCGAAGGGGAAAAGCTTCATGACTGCAGCAGATCATGTCACCTCTGCGAACCACCTCATTCACCTGGAGAAGCTCGGATCTGCGACACGTGTCTCACTCGAGCGTGCAAGCCTCAATGTCACGAAGAAGGAGTATGGGCTCTAAGGGAAGAGCAGCTCGGTCAGCACACAGCAGCAGCAGCAGTAGTCCTTGCAGTAGTTGGTGCCGTTCTTTTCTTTACCCTGTGGATGCGTAGGGGTTTTCAAGCTGTTATCAAATGAGTAAAAAAAGCCTCATCAGTTTCACGGGCCTTAACGTCAACGGCCTAGGAGATAAGACTAAACAGCAGCGAGTCCTCAACTGGTCTAGACAAGCAGCAGACATTATTGTCGTTTTGTTCTATCCCTCACAAATTCCAAGCCAACTTTTTATACCATTTGAATACTCGGTGGTTTACAGAATAGCAGAGATGCCTTATCAGCGTTTCCAAAACAGCAAATACACATTCAAGCACAAAACCCACAGGTGTCCCCCCTCCTAATCACCCATCTACCCCATAAAATACACCGTCAAGTCTCTAACAACTACACCAAAGAAGTATCCGACAACCTCTCATCCCACAAAGCAGTATCTTTCTTGAGTAGATCCCCACACTGGCTTCAAAATCGCAATTTGGGATTCCGACCTTGCTGGCCTTCAATATCGCTGAGGGGGGCAAGGGAAGAGAGCAAGGCAATCCCAACAGAATACGCACAGAGCAGGGGTGTGGTAGTGGTCTAGCTGCGACGGGGCTGGAAGGAACATCTGGCTTGTGACGAGCTTTTATGTGAGAGTGAGAACCAGATCACATGGCGTGTGAGAGTGAGAAACCAGGTCACGTGGCATGTGTGAGTGACAAGCCAGATCACATGGCATGTGAGAGCGACAGTGCAAAGCGAGGGAAGGATCCACATGACAGCCCGTTCACCATGCATGTGACATACCAATAGCTGGAGACCACACGCCGCACGCTGTGTATTAAGCTCGTTAGTGCACTTGGCTATGGCCAGCATGTTTCCCTTCCAGCGGCTGGGGCAGTAGGTCGCGCCCTTCGCGTACACAATCCTGCATGCGGTGTCTGTTGATCAAGGTGATGTGAGGGACGGGTTAGAAGTGCAGCAGGCAGGATAGGAAATTTGAGAAGTGAATATCTAGGTCTAGTTGGGTAATACGCGGCAGCAAAGTAGGCTGCCGCCTCACCATTCTGGATCCCACGGCACAAAGGAATTTCCTATGGAGAAGCAGAAACATTCCGAGAAAAAGAGCTATCCAGAATTCCGGATAGAGTGCACTGAGGGAGAACGAGAGAGGAACCATTTGCTCATTTCGAGTTTGGATCGTGTATGGTAGACTGGGTTAGTCACATGACACGTACTATCAGATGTGGTCTGGAGCTTGCGGTGGCGCTGCTCGCGGGCTTCGCTCGGCTGGGTGGTTCTCGCCACGTCTTCTGCTGTGACGACGCCTGTCGCCTCGCTCGTTGCTAGTAGGGTAGGGGCAGGTTAAGGGGAGTGAGAGGAGTGAGGGGCAGAGAGGACGTTAAGTGGAGGAGGCCTAGGCAGAGTGAGATGGGATGTGTGGTCAGACTGAGAGGAGATAGAGGCAGGAGGGAGTGAGGGGCGGATAGAGGGGATTCACGATTGAGGGGAGGGGTAAGAGGGGATGAAAGGCGTAGTCGATGCAGGGGGGAATGACGAGTCAGGCAGAGCGAAGCAAGTGCCGCGTACAAGCGAATGCGAATATGCTTTTACAAAGCTGCTCTTGAGCTGCCACAGCTCGAGGCGTTTAAACCGAGCAATTGCGTGTATAACCGCATCGAACCAAGTGTGGCGCGTCGGAGCGGTTGGCCCGCAGGGGAGGCGAATGTGACGGCGCAATGCGTGAACGCGGCGCCAGGGATATGGCTTGGGTTTCGAGGTGGTACGGGCCGTACCTTGGGCGTACGAGACGCATGAGAGCACCAGGAATGCAGCGAGGAAGAGTGCGATGCCGACGGGGAGAGCAGAGCGAGCCATTGCGACGTGAGGTGATTGACAAAGTTGTCAATGGGATAGACTGAGAACTGAGGAGTAAATGTGGAATTGAGACGATGATGGTTAGAGTATGTTCGGCTGTGGGATATATAGCTGGGAAGAGTTCGATTGCATGGACGCGTACCGCCGAGAAATGTGGTTGACTTTTTGCGTCACTCACGCTGTTCTCGTACCGCCGCAAACAAACTCTGGCATGGCTGTTGAAGAGAACCAAGCAAAAGGATGTGAAATCTGGGATTTAGGTACGATACAAAGTGGTTAATCACGATACACCTGATAATATTTTATCAATAATTCAACTCCAAGGAATAAACGCGGTATAGTGAAGACGACGAATGGTCAAAGGCCAAAAGCAAATCTGCCACCGTACTGTAACTACGTCTAAACCCTCTGAAACCCACAAAGCCATTCTGAAACCCGTCAAAAAAAAAAATTAGTGAGACCAATCCTGGTTCCAAACTTTTAACGCGTTCTCTGGAGTCCTATTGGTTGTCGAAGCGGGCAGCGAAAAATTGTGAAACTTCAGCAAAAGTAAGTCAGATTGGTTCCCACCTTGTAACGTGTTATCTGGATTCGTATTGGTTGCCGCAGAAGGCGGCGAGAATATTTGAATATTCTCAGTAAAAAACCAGTGCATCACACAGACCAGCTTTGACTGCCTCGAAATGACAAGGCCGCCATGGATATTGTCGCGCAGTTACAAACCTAGATCTCGTGAAGGTTCCGTGTCAGTTGGCTTTAAGGACTTCAGATTCGGATTCCTCGTTACAAGGCGCAACGATCGATACGACTATTATGCCTACACGTCGGGCATTGTATCTTTCGGCAACCGGGAACCGATTTCTTGTCAGGCAACTAACTTCAAGGTTCCTTTTGGTTTGCTGCTAACTCCAAGGCCTCATTTTCGGTTTTTACGCAGCAAGTGGTTTAACAATGGCTACGACACCCTCATTAAGTCTATTACTGACCCTGATCCCGAGGCATCGACCTCGGTTTCTCACCACCAACACCAAGAACACTGGTCCAACGCTTCTGGATCTCAGCTATTTAACACGTCTGTGCTCAGAGCTAAGGTATCAGTTCAGACATCTGCGGTCTGCTTTCAAGCTATCCAGCCTCTTCCTGCTCATCATTGCACCATGGCTCCTAAGGGGAAGTCCAAGGCTGTGTCAGAAGCCTCGTCGCTGGAAGCTCCCTCGTCTTCACTGGATGCGCCAGCCTCGTCGCCTGCTCCTGCTTCTTCTGACCCTGCTGGCAAAGGCAAGGGCAAGGTTACTGAGGAGTCAGTAAATGTACCTCTTACTGATGCTCCAGCAAGTGGATCCGGTCTCTCCCTGGAGGAGAAGCTGGGCTCTCTTCGTACAACGACTCCTGACAGCGGCTTCATTGAAGATGATTCTGACGAGGAGCTCGAAGTCGAAGTCAAGACGGAAGCGTTCAACCGTGTTCGCTACACTGCGATTCTGCTGATACCCGTGGCTCTCGCCCTGGAGGTCGCTTCCGTCATCACCACGGTGCGGACTCTGATGCGGCGCGTCTGGTCGTCTACGCTCTCTGTTGGCGCCGTTGACTCGGCGAAGTTCCAGGAGCTCCTGCCGGCGTACGTGGCGAAGACCCGTTACAGTCGCCTGCAGGTCTCTCTCCTGCGCGAGGAAGATATTATGAGCATCAGATCCAAGGAGGTGGATTACACGCGTCCTAACGGCACGGTCTTCCGTCTCTACTGGCAACACACTGACGATCCTGCTTTTGTGCGTGAACGTGCGACGAACAAGCTGGCGATTGAGGTGGTGATTCGAGACGTACCTGCGACGAAAACTCCGGAGATGCTGCGGGAGCTAATGGTGGTCTACCAGCTGCGTAATCGGCGGCAGTCGGCTTTCAAAGACGGAGTCTGCTTCCACCGCGTTCTGCACCCCGTCACTGGAGCTGATACAGATGTCGTCAAGGGACTTGTGATCCCTCATCCTGGCGACAGATACCGCTGGCGCCATGTGTTCGAGGATCCCTTGGAGATCGGCCGTCGCTTTTTGGTCCACTTCCCTGCGCTGTCTTGCCTGCTCTGCGGTGAACAGCACTATGATGTCAGTCATGATGCTTTCACTTCGGAGCGGCATAACAACATAGGGAAGTGGAATCTTACCTTGGGGAGGGTTCACCGTATCAATGGTAACTGCTCTTCCTTGCATGTTCTTACATGCTATCATGCTTGTCCTCGTGCTAACTGTCAAGTCGTACCATGCAGCTGCTGTTGGTGCAACCCTACGGTTTGCACTCGGCTTGTTGTCCGTGTGCGTGAATGTGTGTGTGTATGGAATGGTATGAGGGCATGGGATAATATATATTTCATGCTTATAATTGTGTGTGAATGTTGAGTCATGATGTCGAGTGTGTGTGTCGAGTCAATAGCGAGTTATCGCTAGACGCGTGTTACGCGGTCGTTTGTGTCTCGCGCGCGGTTTCTATTTTGTCGTGCGCGGTTTCTATTTTGTCCTGTGTCGAACGTTCGGCGTGTCGCAGGTGTGTGCAGCAGACCCATCAAGAACTCAAGGATGAGTTTGTGATGAAGAGCCCGAGCCTTGGTGTCAAGCCTCAAGTGATTTCGAAGCTTGCCAAAAGGGTACACCTCAAGATATTGAAGATAGTTACATTACTTTGTGTAGTGTAACATTTCACTTGGTGTAGGCCCTAGTGAAGGGTAGTTTCGAGACCCTTCGTGGTTGGGGACAGTGTGGCACTGTTCCACATCACTGTACCTCGGCTCTTGGGGTTTGTAGGAGCTGGGAGTCATTCCCAACTCGTAACTCTTCCTATCTTGTGTTCTAAGACTATAGTGGCTGCCATAGTACCGTTCGTTCAAACCGACGCTGTGTCGTCAATTCTTTATCAAATCGTGCAATCTAAATTGATAATTGTAGACGACGTGATGACGCTCCAGATCCAATTTGAATCAGGTCATTTGCAGCTGTGAGCAGAACGCTATCAACGTTTGAAGCCGCTGTGCAGAAATCCGTCTGTGCTCTCTATCTTTCGTTTTAGGCACATTCAAGCCTATTGTGACTATAACAAGTGGTATCAGAGCCCTTGGAGCAG